CCCCCCTCCTACCCTACAAATACTTCATAAGGCTGGAATGAGTCAATTAACGGGTAAAAGTAATTAAATCTTAAGAAAACTTTGCTAACCGCAAATGGACCCCAAGTTTAATGTAAATTGGCAAGTATCTTCTTGGGTTATTTGAAAAGAAGGTACACGAAGATAGCTTGATAAACACCTCACTTCTCATCACTGAACTAGTCAGCTTTGAACATCATGAACATGAACTTGACGTTGGCAGCTAATTGTACCTATTATATAAGAATCAAACCACGTTGTTGAATTCCCAAATCAATATGTGAGAGGCTAAGGCTAAATTTCGTCGATGTTTTTCATAATTATGGCTTATGATGAAAATATAAGTGCAATATTTTATAATATTTATGGTAGTACTTCTAATTTGGCCATCATCTCTTAACAAGACTTTTTTCTTTAATTTGGTGAATTTTGACCAAGGATGTGATAGGATAATCACTTTTCATAAAATGTCACATGACTTCACAGCCATCCATATACAGAACAAAGGAGTCTACGGGTAGGTTAATTATTTTTGGGTAGGTGGTTTTAAACCAGCTGGTGCTATATCATCTCACTTTCACTTGCGGAATCGTTAACACTGAGGAATTAAACTCTCTACCAGCATGAAGAATGGAATGCTTAGTAGAATTCATAATCAAAATGTTACCTTTTATCAAAAAATGACTGAATATGACAATACTGTAGCACGCGCAGGGTAGCAACAGATAGGTTTGCTTAATTTAATCATCACAAATACGAATAATCTAAAAATACAATGACCAATAGGTAGTTTTGTGCCTATAGCGTAGCAAACTATTTTAAAACAAAAATTTGTTAACTACATAAGACCACTTAGGACAACCGATTGGGGTTTACATAAACTATATGAATGGATCACTCTACGAAGGTGGTGAGATGTGACAATAACAAAAATGTCATGACAATCAGGATATGTCTTTAACTGAGGTTAGGACAGGTGCGAAAAACACATTGGTGTTTGAGAGAACCTGGAAGCAGGTAGTTGCGAAGTTATAACCGAGCCAAATCTAATAGCCATTATCCCTCATTCCAAATAAAATTAACTTACTCATTACCATTAAGCCCCATACGAGGTATTACTCAATTTCAATACTATCTTTTTAATATCTTTTTTTTAATATTGCCTCATTATGTCAAGTAAATATGATCGTGATACAAAATCTTCAATATTCTACCAAGTACTTGCGACAGACTGAGAAGAATTTATTGAGATCCGTATGACTAGGGAAAAAATCCACCAATCGATACATTTTGATCTAATTCAAATTCAAATTTCTATTAGGATGCTTAATTAGAAGATTATGGGGCAATTATGGCGCTATCATAGCATATTTAGTTCTCATATTAAATGAGAAGGACATTAAAGGAACAGAAGTATTTCCATTTCGCTTCGCGTTCCATTTTTTCCATGCCAATAGTCGACTGAATCGTCTCAGTCACATTTTCAACATCCTGCAATGTTTATGCTGGGAAATTAACTCTACAACCTCTTCTGCTTTTAATCTTTGGTAGACTTAAAGCATTAAGTGACTTATATGAACTAAAAGAACACACTCAGTCAACCTTGTTTTGATTAATTTCAAATGAGTGGCTATGTTTGCCGCCCTAAGCATTAATTCGTATCAGATACAATCTTATTTACAAAACGAATTAATGATAATTGAATTCTCAAATTCCGCAAAGTAGAAAAAAATAAAGGCACAAATTAATTTCAGTACCACCTTTTGGGACAGCCGATGACGTCTTTACCCCTAAGAAGGGGTTTAAGAAAATCACATTTTACGTATTTTATAGTAACCTTAGTAATATTTAGTAAGTCAAATTATTGAAATCAATCAAAGCATTTAAACAGTCTTCATCAAACATTAACTTCCAAAGCTCAGCATTTGTAATATATGCGTTGCATTTACCTGTAGACTTAAAGGTCACAACTGGTGACCGCTCATTTCCAATCTTTCCTCTCCTACGTCTTCTGATCGCACAAAGCATTACTGCTCAATTTCGACACCAGCCCTTGTAGTATAGGAAATTTACCAAGGTTGAAATGGTGTACTTCTAATTTGTAGGGAAGACAAAGTTATCATGACATGAGCAGAAGCCTCTCAACCGATCAATGACCAAAGCCAATACGACCAATCAGCAGTCAAATCCAGTACGTGGTTGTCATGCCAGAAATTGTATATATGGATTAAATTGCATGTCGCTTTATCATACAGCCCGCCATACCAAATGAATGTGTTCCAAGTCATACGACTATTGCTTCTTTAGATTTACGATAGCTTAGCTAGTTCTAGGAGTCAGTCGAAATATAGGAGAATCTGCCATAGAGATTTCCGAGTTTAGTCAAGGCTTATTAGTGCAGCAATTCGAAAAAATTATAACTCATCAGGATTAATAAATATAGATTTACTTGAGATGAGCGGTATTTTGGTATTTCCCATTTATATGAATTTTAGTCAAATCTCGGGAAAAAATAATAAAATAATTTTACAGTAACAGAGTTAAATTAAATTTTCCTAAATCTTTTAAAGTGGGTTCCTTGAGCAACGTACTAAAGTTTATTATTTCCCATGTTAAATGAAACAAATAAACCTATATGAAACTATACAATTTTATGGTAATTTAATGTTAGAAGACTGTAGAAGTGTTTGCAAAATCTTTGCCATTAATTAGAAACATATCATTCGATCGTAGGAAAATATGTTTTGGGCGACCACGTTGGTTATCTGAAACCTGTAGGAAGATAAGAAAAATTTTTGTGCATTTACGCATTTACTCATGTCAGCACTAAACCAGAGACTTAACGTAAGGTCGGATGCGATGAAAGAAAACTTAATCGGAATATACGAAAATAACAAACACATATGAAATAAATGGAGTTGCGGCGTATCAACCCTCACACAATAAAATACGCATCGAATAGTTTGGAGTGTGCGGCCATACGTTCATAGCACCACACAGATATTTAGCTATTGATTTTCATTCAAACTATGCTAGATTAATTTGATAACTAATCAGGTTTGCCGATATTATAATCCGTAATGTACGCTTCTCTTGCAATACATCTACCTTCTCTCTATCATCGCGATTGCCTTTCCGAATAGAAAAATCTGCGTAGAGATGATTGAGTATAGTCAAGGCTTATTAGTGTAACAAATATTGGAAGTGCCAAAACAAAAATAGGCCAGTGCCAGTGTTCCAGATTTACATTCAATAATTAGCCGATTAAAATAATTGGTCTCACGATTAGCAGTTATGTAGGAATTGGTAAGGAATTTTAGACCTTCTTTCTTATTATTTAAAATTTATTCCTTGAATGTCTGGGTAAGAGGACAATGGATTAGGGAAAACACCTTTCATTAACACTCATGCTCGTTAGCCAAGCAAGATCTCATCCACTAAATTTATCATTCGGTATGCATAGCATGCATTTAATTTCATGTTAGTCGATCATTTCTCATCAGTCAAGTAATGTCAGTTTTTAAATATGTTTATGTAAAAGGGAATATTATTGGCAGTTAACGCAGTTTAACTAGTTAGTAAAATAGAAAAAATATTTTTAAATTATGTATAACTTTAAAGTTTCACATAATGATTATTTATTAAAATAATTCACATGAGATTTGTAGATGGAAAATATATAAATATAATATATAATTTTTAATTTAATTGCAGTTGATTTCTCAAATTTTCATCTAAAGTGAATTACTCATTTACTGTCACTCTTGTTCAACTGTGCCAATTGTTGATTCAATCAATTACTAAACGTATACTTGGTGGGGCTGGTTGGATTTCCATTCAAAAAGTCCGAGATGCGTAATCTTTTTGCTGCTATTGTTATGTTAACAATGTTAACAACGTTTTCAATATGTAATGCTTATTACCAAAAGAAGCAGTTCTATCCAACAGTCGTGTACCTTACAAAGCACAAACCCTACTTTGCAGTAACATTTTATCACTTTTTATAGCAATTTTAGTTGCTAATTGTGCAATCTTTCGCCTTTTTGTTCTTATTTGCCAAGTTTATTAGTTATATATTTTTTGGAGAAATTCGTCGTTCAGAATTTGATGTATGTTCTCTATTTCCCAAGACTAACTTTTCTCTAGAATGTTTTCACGCGTATTCTATATACGTCATTCGATATGTGTTTACTTTTCACATTCTTCCAAGAAGAGATCAGCACCAAATTCTTATTTTTAATTTTGTTCATCGTTTTCATCAAGGGCTTTCATTGGCTACTGGAAGGGCGTGTTGATGTCGTTAGTTATGAATATACGCTCTAAATCGCTTTTTTAGATGGAACGCACTCCAGTTCTTAGACCTTTGTTCCACATCAGGACGTTGAGTAAATTTAATTAGCTATTTCGTCATAAATTTGTTAGGTTTCGCTCTTTTATTAGCTGCTGTGGATATTTTTCATATTGCAAATTTCTACTGGGGAGTTGATACAACGAATGTTTCATCTCTTGCGGTTGGAGCTGAGGTAAGTTGGAGAATTTTATTTTCCAGTTTTATTTTTTAGTAATTATCATCGATTTCTTTTCCTCTTTCAGTACTATATTCTGCTTTTCGATTTAATTTCAATAGTTATGCGCTATGCTATTCAAACTTATGACTCAGTACAGGAAACACATTGGGATCAAAAGTCACTCTATCTTCTATATGTTGATGTTATCGTTGGAATGCTTCGTGTCTTCTTCTATACCGAGTTCGCTCCAATTCTCTGGCGCCACCACCCTTTTCCTCTCTTTATTATTCGACCAATTTATCTCAGCTTGAGATTCCTGAAAAAGACTATTAGAGTTAGTTAACTGTGTTATGCACCGTCATCTTAAATGTGACCTTGAGTGCCATTTTTCGGGGTTAATTTTAGAATCTGGTAATGTCACGACGAGCAATTCGATTGATAAATAGTGCGTTTAGTGAAGTGACTGCTGCTGAAATAGCTGCTTCAAATGATACTGTGTGTATTATCTGTCGAGAAGAGATGATACAAACTTCTGCTGCCGGGACGACAGAGGCTCCCTCTCCTAATCTTGCTCCTGGAACTATCAAACGTCTACCCTGTGGGCACATCTTTCATGCCAGTTGTCTTAGAAATTGGTTTCAACGTCAGCAAACTTGTCCCACTTGCCGTATGAATATCCTCCGACAGGGAACTGATGAGCAGGCAGCTGAGAACCAGAGAGGTCTAAGGCGGGTTCCTGCGAGGGCTGCTGGTCAACAAAGGCAACGGGGTGATCAATCGCAGGCTCGTAGAGGCGGTGGTGGTTCAGCTCAAATTAGAATAGATATTCAACGCAGTTCTGGTCGGGGTAGTGGAGACAATGCCCCACAAGTGCATCAAGTAAGAACGAAAGGGAAATCTGTTTAGATTTTCTCCCCTAAGTTTTGATTTGAATTCTTTTTACTTACAGCTTCCGTTTTCTATATTTCCACCAAATGTGCAATTCCCTGGAGTTTTTCCATCGATTTCGGGAACGGACAATCAGCAATTCTTTATGGCTCCGCCTATTGTCATCCCTGGTATGTTTATCATTTTTGGACTTCCATGTTAATTCTTTTTTTAATACTTTCGATAACAAATTTTAATTTATTTTATTGACTACTTCTAATATGCTCAAGTTTAATTGATCTCAACTATCTTGAAATTTCTCTACCTACATGTTTATGGAAGCTAGTAGTATATTTATGTCATTGCTCCTTTCTCAATTTTTGAGCTTTAATGTTGGGTTTTATGAGTTACCCTAACTGGATTTAAAGCTCATTAGAATTACCGATGCGCACAATATGGTCTCCTAAGCCTTTATTAACATGAATTCCCGTACTCGAATGTCATAGTCTTATCATCAACCGTCTTGGAAAAAACAATAACAGTTCATTTATTTTATTACTGGTGCCCATCGTTGCACACTCGATGACATGCATAGCGAGTTTCTCATAATGTCGACTCCTGGGTATCTTCCCTTTACCCAATTAAAATGCTGTGGTCGCTTTCCACAACGCACTTACGAAGTTTCTGCTAACAGCATGTAAAATGCTATTTTATCTCAATCATTGCGGTGTCTCTTTAGGTGATCAATTTTCCCATTTGGTTGGTGGTACTCCTATGCCCCATGTGCCTGCCGACTTGGCAGAGGGTGGTCAAGAATCCCAGGAGGCCCTGGAAAGCAAGTTGCGTTCCGGTGTTGGAGCACGCATTGAAACACTTCAACGCATTCAGACCCTCCTGGATGCCTCAATCCTTCAAATGAATGCCTACTTGGCTGCTACCAATGCAACTCCTTTTGTAATTCCTATTCAGAAGAAAAACGAAGCGGGTGATATTCAACCTGCTGCAGCAGTATCCTCAGGCGAACTTAGCGACATGAAAGGTGTCAAGGATGCCTCTGAGAGGTAATTTGTGCTGCAGACTAGATGGAAACTGAATAGATATATTGCTAATTTAACAATTTTTTAAAGTATTTATGTAGGATTGCACTTTGATAAGACTTAGCAGAAAGAGAAGGAGCTACATCAGAAACAGTTCCGGAAGAAAATCGCGCCTTGGATTACGTAGATGGTGAGGGTTAATGTCCAGCTGAGGATGTAGGCGTAAAGACTTGGGGCTTAAGTAGTTTTTTTCGAAAGATAGAGTGGGGTTTAATAATATATGGTTGTTATTGGCGAATTAGATTAGTATGATTAGTCTAATAATATTAACTCGTACCACGTGAACCGTTAGTCTTAAAGAACTCATGGAAATTTAACCAGGAAATAAATATACAGTAGCTGATTACATGGTTATAATTTTTTAAATCAATTTGCTTTTGTACGCTGAAGAAAATGCAGGATTTCAGAGTGCTTTATTTGACATCACCGAATCTACTACTGGTCATTTATATTGCAGTAATCTATTTCGCGATAGTTTTTTCTTGGTTATTATATTGCTGCTGCATTAAATTTCAACCTATTTATATGACGAGAACTTCTATTTTACTAGAAGCAGGCCATGTTGTGTGTAAAATTGAGGTATTTTGTAAGGTCATCTATTGACCCATATGTTATTAGAGCGTACTTCAAGATGCATGTTAGTACATTCGATATCTCGCTTTTTGTGACGGCATTGCTGTGCTCTCAAAAAGATATCTGGTTTAGGAAAACCTGTGGGAGTGATTTAAAGTCGAATAAAATTGGTCGAACCTCTGCTTTTAGCGTTTACTGCTAGAGTAGATCGACGTAGTCATTGCTACTTACTAGTTAGCCCTTCCCGTTTCGGGTGATTGACCTTAAATTTTCTTCTTTTAGAGAATACAAAGATACTGGCAAAGGGGAAACGAAAGCGGACTTGAACGAAGCACAGCATTCAGATGGTAAGAACTGTCTACACTGTGCACTCAATATTTTTTCGATTTGTTTGGTTTTATTTTTTCTTTCGTTTTAGAACTTTCCATTCTACGTCAACGTCGACTGGAGAAATTATCGAGCGCGATGAAGGAGGGGTCGAAGACTTAGTGCAAAATTTATTTCACGAGCCACCCAATTGTGTTAACTTATGTGTGACTATCAGATACTACACTTTTCATCTTATCATTCTGATGTTGCTTAATCTATTGCCTTTTGGTTATTACTTATTAGGGTAGGTAGCTAAGAGGCTGCCAATGAAAACTAGGAGAGAAAGGCTTAATATTGTGTTAAGTTTTAGTGATGGAACAATGATATCATTAAGTGAGATCTATTTATTTATTTGGCTGGAAGTGAGTTGCCTTTGCTCTGAGACAAGGTATGAAATTGCGAATAAAGAACTCGTAAATAGTGTAGCACTACGCTGATGATGTAGACCTGAGGGTAACGTATGGTGAGAAGGTTGCAGGTAAGTTGTTTGGATATTGGAAATAATTGGTAGTGAGCAATCATTGTAATAATTTACCACCCGAGTGATATCCATGAGAAAAATCAGGTGGCAAAACTACTAAACAAAAGTGAGGCAAACATGGAAGTTGCATTAATGGTTTGACAACAGATTGATATCAAAATATATGGTTGATCAGCTGACTTAGAGGCAACAAATATGAATTAGCCAATCAGGCCAAGAAAATGGCAGTGAAGAATGGAAATTACACCTTAATAGTAAAAATAAACAAGATATTCATCTACGCGAGATAATAAATAATTTAAACTCATAATAAATTATTAAGAATAAATATTACCAATTAGAAAAAGACAAGCTTATCAATATTACTTCAAGGTATTATTTTACAGCGGATTATTTAATTGCGCCCTTGGTTGTAAATAGAATTTTAGTCATATGGCTGAAGCTGTTAAAAAGAAAGACTCGAGTGTACTAGAAGTATGATTTATGTTTATGAAACAAATAGAATTTCTTAGAAATATAAAAATATTGACTCACTTCCTGTCGTTAATGATCCTCTTCCGATTATTGCCAGTAATGTAGAAGACTTAAAAGACCCACTACATGATGTAAATGAACATCCTGAGAAGACTCATAATTCAAAAGTACTGGATGTGCCTTGTGAAGAAAGTTCTGCAGAAGCTGAGCCGGAAGAATCAAAAGTTTCAATTATTGAGCCACCCTATATCCCTTATTCCGTACTTTCTTCTGCACTTACTGATTGCAATTATGAAGCTGCATGTGTCGAGACTGTAGAGCAAAGCAGCGCTCCTCCGCTAATGACTTCTTCCTCCTTTGATTTACCAAATTATGAGTATAAACTTCCTCATTGTTATAGTCTTGATGAACTTAAGAATTTTTATTCAAATCAATACGCTGACATACTAGAGGCTTATGAAAACGAGTTTCTAGGAGTAAGTCTTGTCAGTTAGTATTATTATTTTTGTCCATTAGGAAGCCCACTGGGATAATTTCCTTCCAAGTTCTGAGGAAATTGAAGATGTTTCTTTTGAACCCTTCACAGCTGTTCCGGATTCTTGCACAGAACATCCCCTATTGAGACTGATTTCTGCTTATACTGGAAACCTTCTACTTTGGAAATCTACGAAAGAAACTCTGATCTCCATGTCTTCAGAAATATCGTCCTCTGAAAAAGCTATTTGGAAAATTAGGCAGCAATCGGAAATATTAACGGTAAGTTAAGTTGTTAGATTGCGTCAAATAGATACTTAATTCTTTATTTAAGAAAGCCTATTATGGATTGCTTGAAACTGGTTACGACGGCCATTAATTTTTTCCGTTTTCTCTATTCATTTCTTATTTTACTTTGTAACTAACTAGGGGAAATGCCGTGATGATTACGAAGTGTCTTATAAACTTGAATACGAAACTGCTGAATTTGATAATGATCAACTTGATCGTTTGGATTTTTCGCAAAGTGAACTTCGGAAATTTATACTCGATCGAATCTATTTGGTATCATACAGAGTTGCTATCTCAAGGTAATTTATTTTTGATGGTTCATTATCATTTATTTAAATAATTCTATTTACTTATGTAATAGATGCAAATTTAATACTGACAGGAAACCTCATGATCTAATACCATGGTTTTCGATTTGGCATCCTGATTGCTATCTTTTGCATCATTAATTTTTTAGATATTTCGTTTAAGATAGGTTGTGAGTATTAAAAGTACATTGAAAGTGCCACGGCTTCAGAAAACAGTTTTGCTTTCCTGTTCATGGCTGATTTGCATTTAGGGCTATTGCTGTTTAATAAGAAGTTAGGAAGTAGTTTTTCCCTCTAATCAGGCGTTACATTTTCTATCAATCATTTAATCGCGGGTTGCAAACATATCCTTGTAAGGAAGCCAATTTCTCCATACGATCAAACGATGCTGATTGCTTAGTTCTCATGACTTTCATATTCTTTTAATTTTTTTATAGATTGGAAATTGAATCCTACCTTAACCAGGTTCTAAAGCAATGTCCATCTTATGAAAATTTCGCTTTTAATGAGCCTGTTATTTGTAAGTTCTCTTGGCAGCCGTCTAATCTCATTTATTAGGTCATTGACTAACGTCTTTTTGACTGTCTTAGTGCTACCGAATGCCAGTCTAGATGTAGATCTCGATCGTCAGATCAAACTTCTTCGAAGTATAACCTCAGTTCTCTTCACCTGTCTCAAACAATTTGCCTTCATAGATGCCGGAAACAACAAGGAGTGTGTTCCCCACTTTGAGCTAATTGATAATATCATCGAGTGGATTATGTGTGTAGTAAGCCCTTTTTACCCCTTTTTTACATTAATCGGTTTAAAATTAAACAGTAAATGGATATTTACATTCGTGCTTTAGACGGGTAGATTTGTTCGACAATGTCGACTGCAAGATCACGTCTTTATTGCAATGCATCTTTTACGAGTTCCATTCAGTGTTTCTTACACTCCAAGATCTTCCGATTTCCCGCCTTTATGTGCCCTATTGCAACCACCAGCTCTCGATATAGCCTCTTTTCGAGTGAAAGGACACGTTTTGGATCTCCTTTCTGAACCAGAATTGGCAGTTCGAGGAGCTCTCTTGTCCCTATGTTTAAAAAATCCCAAGTAAATCACACCCTGCAGTCTTTTTGTCATCTGCTCGTTTAACCGTGCTTTAAATTCACTAATTCTCCTTATTAGGCAACGTTTCAATTTTAAACTCTGTCCCACTTCTGATGTTATGAAGATTGACACCAAAACCATGAAACATTCCTGGACTGTTGTCGATTCTGACGGTGAAAGTGATGCTGAATGTTCAATAAGTTCCATCGTGAATCTAAGAAAATCCTCTACCCAGTGTTTTCAGGCCCTAAAAATTGATACGGATCCGGAGTTTGCAAGTGTGGAGAGTGTTACTACACTGATAGACCAAATTGATATGCTCGGTTTGATTGATTTTGTCGTTTCTCATTGTGAGGGAACGGGATCTAGAAATGATCACATCTCTCTATTAGCATTTGCAAACTGGTTGGTCACAACTTTAGAGCAGAGCATTGATTTTTTGCACAGGCCCACATCAGAGCACCCACGTTTTCAACGCCAAATTATCAAGCGAATTGTTGAGATGATCAACGCTCTGTTGTCAGGTCTGAGACTTCTTATTGAACGCTCAATCAGTGCTCTTCCAAGCTCCACACAATCCAGTACTTACCCTAATTTGCATAGTAAAGATTTGACTGATTTCAAGATTGTTCTCGCTCAATATGACGAACTATGTCTTCGCGTGACAAACTTTATTTTATCGAGTGCAACATCTATGGTTACACAGCTCACTTGCTGGCGTCGATTTTCTCGAACACTGCCCTTCAAACTCTTTTCTTCTCGTTCCAAATTGAAGTTCTACGGTCTTCTGCTATCATCTATCTCTCCAGATATCGAAGACACATACTTTTCCGATATTCTATCACAAAGGAAGGAAGATAGTTCATTAGGAGTTGATGAAACAGTAATAGAAGAAGATACGAAGGCAGGAGAGGTAATTGAACTCCTTCGTGCAGGACTAATGGATAAGGGTTGTCTGGCAGAGCCCCTTTTGGCTGTTTTGGGTCAGCTTGCATCTCTAGAATGCCGTCCGCCACCTCCCATCCATGAAAATGAACAGAATCAATTCTGTCTATCGCTTGATGTACCATCATTGGAGAAGAAACTGGTTCAAAGAATTCTTGATATTCTCTTTGGGGTAAGTGAAAAGTACGTATTCGGTTGATCAATGAATCGTGAGATTGAGGTCAGATACATGTTAATAATGGTCAGTTCAGATATTTTTGGAATACTCTAGAATGCCTTCTATTTAGTCAAGATGAGTGAAACCGGTTTACAGGTTGGTTCAGCTTTTGAGATTCGGATGTCCACAGTGTTAAGCTAATTACTGTGTTTCCTGAGACGTACAAAGGGACTGCGTTTTGGGTGATTTGTTTTACATAGTTTTACGAAAACTCGTAAACTAAGTGGGTGGGGGATGGGAAGAGGGGGGGGGGGGGATTTCTTGAACGTTGTTTGTGTCCGAAATTTGAGACAGAGACATAATGCAAAGGCTTTAAATGAGGGAAGGGTTTATAAATTCCAGAGCCCATTTATATGATGCAACTTCCTTTAATGCACGTGCTTATTCTTTCTGGTTCGTGATAGCTGTGCATTACATACATGTAATGAAAATTAGCATTGGATTTTTTCCTTCATCTTTATTTAGTTTTAATTAATTAATTTTATTTTCTTCTTTTACTTCTCCAAGTTGTGCGTTGTACCAAAATCTCAAGTGAGAAATGACAAATGCGAAAGCTCCATCCCAATATCCACATCATGCGGTCGTGCCCAATTAGTGTCCATCGTATCTGTTCATCCACCCTTTGCTTTCCGATACCTACTAGATCTTATTCTTGCTGCTGCTTCTCAACTTGATACTAAATGCATTGTTTCAACAAAATTATCCCGAAGGCCAGATTTTGAATCGTCCACTGATGTAAGCCCTGGGTTTTATATTATCTCGCCTTCTCTTTAGCTTCTATTCGACTTAGTTGATGCTCTACCCTTGACACTCTTTACTCCTTCAACCGGCGACCTTGAAACCCTTCTCTCATGGATTGGCGGAAATTCAAATAGTGAAATCCCACCTCTAAATTCCCTGCGGTGCAGAATTGCCCGAAAATTGCTGGGAAATTTTCCCTGGGAGGCTGTTAATAATGCAGTAATTTCTATTAGACTTTCACATAGCCCTCTGTTCTAGACTGGAGATTACTTGATTCCCCCACAACTTCAGACATCAGTAGCAGTAGGAATTGCTACAGTATTTCAAAAATACATCGTGGATGCTTATCGCCAACCTGTGTCAGGAATATCTGAAACCCTAAACTCGTATGCTAGGCGTGTTTGGACAAAAAGATCATCTACTCAACGTTCCAGACGCAGTGCCTCAATATCTCCTGCCAGAATTCTCTCTTCCAACATTATTCAACCTCCTTTGCCAGTTGAACAAGAAGCAGCATCTTTCTACCACTGGGCTATGCGCTTGATTCTCCGATTTCATTTGGAACCTTCTACCGAATCCTTGACCCACCTTCTCAATGCCACTGAGATGTCTAAGAACCCTTTGACAACATTCTTGGTCCTTGAAATCCAACCTCATGACCAGCCGAGAAAGCCACTAATAATGGATGAGGACTCCTGCCTGGCTTTGGTTGGTTTAGCTAAGTCGGGACATTTTGCTCTCGTCATTGAAGCATTTGGTCGTCTTTCAATTTGTCATGGGGATGTGAAGAAGCATTTTCATCCTCTTCAACCGTGCGAATCCTTTAAGGAACTTGTATCTCTTTTGCTGAGTGCGGATAAGAGTGTGGCTGAGAATAGTCCCCTACAAAATTTCCTCTGGAGTAAATGGAGACAGAGTGAGGTTAAAACTGGACAAATAAACAATTCAAGAGGTCCCATTTTGGAAGCTTTTCTGGGTGCAACGTTGAATTCTTGTATTGGCAGTGCGGGAGAGGATGAGAACCAATCACTACTTCAAGCAGTTATCTCATCAACCTTGTTGTCTCTTTTAAAAAACCGTCTTTCACCTAATCCTCAAGCGATTTGGATGCTGGAAAATCTCTTAAAGACGGCCTTTTGGGTTGAGAAGTCCTTCCCCGTCACTTCAAAGGGTTCTAACCTACCCTCCTATTGGTGGGAAAACCCTATTCTCAGGATTCTACAATCATCAACACTGGTAACGATTTATAATGTTTTTTTTAAATGAAAGTGTTATGATCCAAAAGACAATATTCTAGTCGCGATGAAGGTGAAATCAAATTTCAGTTATAGTTCAAGGAATCCTATTCGAATTCCTTATGGAACTCGAGTCAAAATTCATTTAGATCATATAGATAGTTAAGTATTTTAAAATAGAATGTTATTTTCGTCCAAGAAAATTGCATGTAATAATTATCTTTAATCACATTTGCCATGATTAAGTGTGCTAGTTGGAAATGTAAATTTAATAATTTTCACTTGCGTCATTCACTTTTAGAAAAGCATGGTCGAAGAGAGTTCTGCTACTCGTCCTCCAATGACTTCAGATGATAAGTCCATGGAGGGCGTTTCAAGCCTCGTTTCTCAGAACTACAGTCTTTTGGCTTCATCTTGGAGTGAAGGTCTCTCCACGCTCATTCCTTCGGAGAGAATTCGACAGTACATTCCCTACTTTGGACTATCAGGCTCAGAAGATAATGATGAAGATTTGGCGTGCACTATCAGTCTCACTCTGATTCACAATCTTCTTAGAAAGACATCCGAAAATGATGCTGAGGCTCTGTGGTTGGTCTCCTATTTGATTGGAGCGGAATGCAATGCGGACAACGTGTTTGGAGGCTATAGTCTCTGGGAGAATGTACTGGATTTAATTACTTGGAACCGAGCGACAGTCTTGACCGACTCAACAGATCCTGAAAATAACCTTTTATCCATCTTTGTACATTTCCATAATACCGTATTCATATCCAACCTGCAAATGTTAATGCAATTCCATTTTTTGACTATAGATAGATGGGGGAATTCTTCAATCAGGAGCTAGTTTGGATCAGCTTGGTAGAGTAACTCGACGGCTTCCCCTCATTCAAGCCATCTCTGTTCTCACTGTCTGCCCCCTTCATCACCCTGTATTTTTTCTACTCCTTCAATTTGCGGTCACACACTGCTTACTTTTTTCACGAGCTAATGACCGTCTTTCCACCAGTGAAAGTGAATCGTACGTTCACGTTGTCTATTTTACATTGTGCTAGGTTTTGTTTATAGGCAACCACTCCAATAACAAGGTCGAATTTAAATGTATTGAGTAAAGATCGTGCAAGCAATAGAATAATTAACTATATTAATATTGACGAATTTTACTTAAAGCGTACATGACGGTGGTAGGCCATACCCGCACGGATGCACCCAGGTGTTGCACATAGTGCAAAAATCGCAATAGTTGTATAGGAATATTATAGCTAAGCTCACTTTGAAAATAAAAACGCGTTTTAGTGCACCTCTCTTTCTCTCTCTCGTAGATGTTTTCCTCCTGGCTTTTTGCTTCTGCGTATTCTGCAATGGAGTAGACATAACATCACCGCCGACAAAATTACCAATGCTCAGATAACAGTTTTGGAGGTGCTTCTTTGTCGTCTGCGTGAAGCTCTGCGGCACTGGCTCCAAAGACATTCTCAAGACGAGGATGGCGATCCATACGGTCTTAGAAGTAGCAATGCCATTTCGTAAGTAGTTGTGCAAGCTTCTCGGTATTAATGGAAAATCAGATTTTCTGTCTACAGTGGTTTTCCTTTGTGATTTGCTTTAGGTTGTTTAGAAACATTATTAGCCTGCTCACCGATCTTCAGCAGACTGCGTCTCATGGAATCTCCGATACAATCCAAGTTAGTACTCTTGTGGAGAGAATCAAATCACTTGATGTAAGTTAGGGTCACGCTGATTTCGGTTATTGTTGATTTCTAAGCAATAGATTGAAGACTGAGCAGCCTTTTTATGAATATCCATAAAAGAGCTGTTTCTATCTTTCGATAAAAGAGAGTGACAAAAGTTCTTTATTTAAAGGTTCTCAAGTACTGAACCAGTTAATAGCGCTTGCAGATTCTCTTCATGCCTTAATTTAATTGGCAGGGTTTTTCTAACCTTTTCTACCTCAGATGAAATCGGCACTGCAAAGTGTGAACTTGGACGCTATTACAATAGCGATCTACGACCAAATCAATCGATGGCACTTCCTTCGAGGTATTCGTGAAACCTTGAGAGAAAGTACGTCAGTTGAATGTCTCTTTAATTAGCATTTAAAATTTGGACCCATCTGAAGTTTAGTATACGTTGAAATTCTACCACATTATTGATGCCCTCAAACATTCACATCGTGAATGTGGTTATAGAAGGCAATATTACTGTCATACCATGTTTTTTGACTAGGCATATTTTTTGTTAGATAGAAGGCCGGGTACAATTCTCATTGTTGATAGAGAACGCTTATTAGTTAATAGAAACAATAATAGTTTGAAGAAAACAGTAAATAAAATATTACCTTCGTCAGGGGAAAATATCCGATAATTAATTTATATTATATTTACATATTAGCACATCTCTTTGTTAATTTTATTATTAAATAGTCACAAATTTCGCATGGTTGACAAAATGCATAAAAAACTGTGGGTCATTGCTTGGTATTATTATTGATTCATTTATGAAAGTTTGCTTTATCTCATATTAAAATTGGATTAGGGTGGATTCGTGTCTATTTGGGGGGGGGGGTCAATAAGGCTCTAACATTTGTAAAAATTGTATTGCATTGAAAAGACCTAGAAGGCCTCAGAGAAATCACATCTTGACATGCTGTGACAGTCGTCAGTGCTGAGATAGTAAAGAATTGACAAAAGGGAAGTCAATTACACTCAAGTTGTCATGCTCCAGGGTGAGTTTTTCACTTAGGTGCCACACGCGTCTCCTCTTAAAGTCTCAGACTCACTCATAACTATTCAATTTACACACACACACACACACACTTTTAGAGTCACGTTCTCCGGGAGATAAAGTCGAGAAGGAATTGGAGCAATCTTCAACAAGGTGTCCATCTAGACAATTGGGCCCTCCTGTCATTCAACAATGCCAATTCGATGAAAATAGCATTTATGGACCAAAGGATTTACCACCTCATGAGTGGAACTCACTGATATTGGCAAGTTGTTGACTACAATTTCCATTTTTTTTCTTTCATATTCCCCTGTCTAATTACAATGGTGTTTGTGTTGTGTTGTGGAGTGGTGGGGTGGGGTGGGGGGTGGAGGGATTTATTATGTTGCCTCCTTTTTTAAGAGACTCCCTCTGCTGATCTGCCCCAAGTCAATTTGTCTTTCACGTTATCTTGTTTTTTCCCTATAGACATGTCTTGAGAGCTTGAAGACCAAAGCATCTATGGGTAAAGATCGTGATACCCGGCTCAGACAGCTGTACAGGAAACTTCTCGACACCATCTTGCCTAATTTGTATAAATCTACCAAGTGCCATCGATCAGAGGTCGTCGAATGCCATCCTTGTTAGTTTAAATTTTACTTCCTTAATTAAGTATTCCACACGACTTTCGTGGTTACCGTCTGTTTGAGGTCAACTCAACGTTACTCAAATTTTATTCATTGTCATTTTCTAGATATAAAGATTCCCCTGATATCCACGCGTGTTTGCAAAGGTGGAGCGCGCATTGTCCACGAATACGAAGTCTCACGCTTGGAGACTTCCATGGAGACAGAAGTCACAGAGGTCGATCGCAACATCAGCAATCTTATCGATGAAGCTCTAAACAGTGCTCAAGATACCACCACTGTTTCATGCCGTCGATCTCCTTCCGAGCTCCCGCAACATGGTGCAATACGAAATAATTGGGCTCTAGCTGCTTTTCGGATGGTCACCCTCAGTCAGTAAGTTTAGTGGAAGACATTGCTATTCTACTCACAAGGAGATAAGTTAGTAATATTACTTTCCATTAAAGACGGATCGTGGCGTCTCAAAAAATTTCGGCAGGACGTTCACGAGATGAATCGGGACGACTAGTCAGCATATTCCATCTTCTTGCGAATAGCACAACTGCAGTCACATATGCCTTCCCCCCAGTTAGAGGAGTTCTCTTGCAATGCATATGGATTATATGTACGTTGTTTGCCATGCTTATACACCCCTTCTTTTGCTCTAAAATCATTTTGACTTATCATTTCCAGCTGAGTATCTCCTCTCTTCCGGTGAGTATCGATACGACGTCGTGTTAGATGCTTTGACTAGCTCACCGCAACTACTTCAGCTGCTCTCCAAACTCTGGCCCCGTCTCTTAGAAACCTCTGTACAAGCGACACCTGAATCTCGGATCAAGCATTTCACGGTTGTCTATCGGCGTCTTCCACTCATTTTCCAGCAATGTGGAGCTAAAGTAGCCTATGATCTACTTACCAAGGTAAACTATACTTAATGGTAGACTACTGATGGCATTCAATTACAAATCTTGCGAGTATTCTCTTGTCTCTTTTCAGTTTCCTACTTTGCCTGGCGAAATTTCCGCTAATGCTAATATAACTACCCTTCCAAATAGGTCTCCGGTAGGTTTTGGAGGTGCTGCACAGTTGAATAGTCTGATTGTTGAAGCTTTCCTCTGTTTGACAACAATTAGAGAACCCTCTATTCAGAAGGATGAGTCGACTAAGTTAATTGAAGTGAGTGCATAGACATGAATTTCGTTTTTGCATGGCATCTGCCTTACTGTATTGATCTTTCACTACATTTCACGTGTAGTTTATTCGGAGCCAGATAGTCTCCTACCTTCAATTTAACTTCCCGGATTCTATTGCTCATTTATTGGAGAAATTCTGTAACGGTATGCATCCAATTAACTACCAGAACGAATAATATTATTAATTTTTATTTCCAGTTAAGTCCAATTCTGCTCAAGTTGAACTCTGGTACTTAACAAAGGCCTCACTTTCTATTGTGTTATCTCAGGAAGATGAGTATTCATTATCGACTGATGATGTAAATTTTATTATATTATTGTTTTCGAATATTCTCAAAATATGACGCAGAAATTTTTGTTCCTCCTTGTATTTCAGATGAAACACTTCTTTGATAAAGTCAATAAATGTTCAATCACGGCCTACAGTATTCGTGATTTACCATCAACTATAAAATCCGATATGATTGAATGCTTGGGTATTTTGATTCAACAGTTGACTTTGAAATTGAGTCGTTGTGTTGAGTTGGATCACTTATCTCTTCAACAAGGTTAGTTATCAATTGAAGCTTTTTTATTGGTGATAAAATCTCCATTTTCCTTCCTTATGTCCACTGACTACAAACCGAAATGTGTTTGGTGTTAGTTAACAAACATAATGGAAATTCAAGCATTCATATTTACCTCAAACTGGTGTACTTTGTTGAATTCTAAGCTAATTTCCACAATTGTTTACTCTCTTAAGAATAAATTTTTAAATTATACTGTTTCTATCGCCATCTATGCTCTAACGCCTACTCAGAAATCCTACAAGTTCCAGCGTGTGAATATTTGCTGACTGCAGAACATTCTCGTATCTGGCAGTGATGTTACTATTATTAGCCAAAATATAGCGGAAACTTTTTGAGGTTTTAATAAGGCAGTTTTAGAAATGGCAAATTATGATATAGGTGAGATGATTATGTTGATATGACGGCATCAAAAACTATATCTTATATTGCCTCGTAAGGTGCGTGGTTGGTACATTTTTTAATAAGCTTAATGGTCTTCACTTGACCCCGTGGTGGTATGTGAACGGGTTCATGTCCGTGATATTCATAGCTTGCAGACCAGTTAGTTGGTCATATTGCTTATAACTTTTTTAGCTATTAAAAGGTTAACGATTGAAAAGGTATTGCAAACATAAGGGAGACCTCATCTTTTAGGTCTCCATATCTTGGTGGAAATGGTGCTCAATAGTTTTTGGACTCAAGTGATCGGTCTCACCGGATCTCCTACTGACGAATTTCAACGATCTGCCTCTGAACAACTCTTCATCCTCACAGCAAACCTTTACAGATGTCAGTTAACTTATTAGTAATTTGATAATAACATATAGGAGACAGCCTATGTATGGATGCATGTCCCTTTATAGCAAAAGAATCTTCTGAGCCTCCCAAACTGCTCAATGCATTTCTTGATTTTCTTATGACACGCCTCTTCTGCAATTCATCGAAACTCAACGGAGTTCATCTTCTTGGTCAAATCAACCAGGTCTCATCAAAGAATGCGGATCCTCCAAATCTCCCAGAAGGCTTTCCATGGACTGTTTGGCAACCTGCTACTTCTGTGATTAAGACATTAACTCAGGTAAGTAATCTTTTCTTATCTTATCTTCGTTTGAGTGTATTGGTTAATAACCCGCTTCCCTCCTTTATCGCAGTTCATAAATGGTCTCTCCCGATCAGCCAGTGCACCTACCCTCTCGTCACTGTCATGTGTGCTATCTAGAGTGAATTGGTGCAATCCCAAAACTGACATTTCAATATCTGACCATACGGCGAATATTGTGGCGTTAGTTATCGCTGTGGTTTGTTGTTATGATGCTCAAGAAAATCAGCAGGATTCCTCTTTGGCAAGACCTGAATCTTTCAATTATGTCCATTTTTTCGAAAAATTTAACTAATTGACATTGTTACTGTTTTTTTAGAGTGTGGACTATGTACATCACTTCATTAAAAACTGCTGCCAATTCCTTACCCAACATAGTGCTTTCGTTCGTCTTGTGTCCGCAAATTTTGCTCAGGTCAAATCGCAACTCAAACCTCATACCATCATCAATACCTCGGATCCCGTATTTTCTAACTTCTTTAGGTAAGTATTTGGTAGTCACAGCCGCAATTGTAAATACAAACATGACAGAAGTCCATGTGTGGGATTAGATGTATAGCCAGACTATTGTGTAGACTAAACTAGAAGTAAAACGAAAATACGCAAGCTTATTTAGCAGAAAGGGCCAATTCTTCAAAATGACAATATATATTTATGCGTTTTATTCTTTATTCAGGTTCTTATCAATCGCCTCACATATGGGTGATGCGACTCAACTAGAGGAATCACAAAATACCCCAGATATCGTAAGCCAGCGTCACGCCTTCATAAACCTCTGCGTTGACTTCCTTCTCACCGTGGCCTTCCCTGGTACACTAAATCCATCATCTTCAACTGAAAGCCAAGATGTGGAAGTTGTACCTACCGTGTCTTCTGAGGTGCTTTCGACTGCGTCCAGGGCCTACTTACTAGTTATGAATAGTGTTCTACCTACAGCAAGCACTGCTATAGGTCATATAGTCAACAGTTTCAGCTCATCTTCCCTATGGAAGCACGTATTTGGTGAAAAGGGTGAGCCTGAAGAATCCAAATCTTTTTTTACAAAACTGATCGAAACCGAAGGTCCTGTCAAAGATTTCGCTTTACGAATTCTTGGTCTATTATATGATGTGGAGAACTGTTGCGCCGGTGAATCGTGGAGTAAGTTAAATAATTCTTCGATTCCATTGAAGATTTTCCTTCCTCGTTCTAACTTGAGATTTGTCAATTTACAGGTCCAGTTGAGTCCCATGACTTCCAGGCATCTGTTAGTTACTACGTAGAGCTCTTACGACTTAGGTCTGTAATTAACTCCCTTTCAAGCGTGGTTGACGCCACATTCATCTACTGGATGTCTGATAATCGTGCACTTGACGTTCCGATGTCCACAGTATCACCACTACGTCAAAGGATTCCGGGACACTGTAGACCCCTGTTACAGGCATTACTCTTTGACCTCTCAGTCTCTTCAATGTCTTTGTCAGCTCCAGATGAGGTTTCAAAATCACAAGCCCTAATCAACATTGGGGGCATAGTGAATCTAATTGACACCTGTTTGTGGGCCCTTCTGCAAGCAAGTTAGTCGGTACTTTTCATAAATAAGTTTAAGTATTGGAACTACTGGCATATATTGTATCACCGTTGTAGATCCCAAGAAGGATAACGCTTCTTCATTCCCGGCAACCTTTGAAACTCGGATCTCGAAAATCAGTGAAATGATTGAGTTCAGTTGTAAAAATGCATCAGAAGAAACTTCTAGTTTGGCGAATTGTGGCTCCTGGTTGGTACCCGCTTGTCTTTCTTGTAAAAAATTACTCCCTCTGTTTGTTTACGCTAAAACGAGGTGGAGCAAAATTGTCCCCTTGATTGCAAGCTCTGGCCTTTACCAGAATCAACATGGTGGAATAACTTCCATGTGCGCTTCTGATACTCCTGCTATACTGCTGGCGGATATTATGCACTGGTTCGCTGTTCTAAACTTACAGTAAGCCCACCTGCTCTAAGTCTTCATATTCCAGTTGATTGTGTTGTTAAAAAGAAATTAATTTTCTTTAGACCATCAGATGTTTCTTCGGAGAGCTGCTCTGCATCACCTCAATTGAGTGGTCTGCTCCTTTTATTCAATTTGAGCATGCGGCTTATCACTTCGATGGGCGAACCTAGAAACTCGCATGCACCTCAGGAAATTTCAAGAGCTTCTGGCTTTCTCAGTTATCTCCAGAGTCTTGCCGCTAATTGGGAAGAACACAGCAAACCATCGTCGGCTCCTTGTGCGATAGTGGACTTTATTAAAAAGTAATAATTTTTTCTATCTTTACTTAAAATAATGTATTTGTTCTAACTTACGTCCCTTTTCGCACCCTTCTTAGGTTCACTATCTTGACCCAGTGTATGTTGGGGCTGATGGAGGAATGGTATAACAACCGAGGCTCAGATGTAACCACTTTTGCTGAAAATTCAGAAGCGATTCGGGGTTTAGAAAGACTGCGAAAAATTGTTGGTGGTAATAGTGATAATTGCATCGCTGAAAATGAAGCTGTAGCTGCAGTTCGCTCTATTCTTATCCGACTTCATGGTTGTGTTGATGTGGACGACCTTTTTGATTCATATAGCCTTCTTTGCCAAAGATTTTGGTCCCCTCTGCCCCCTGTTATACACTACCTCTTTTCTTCATCCTCTGCCTCCACATCGTGATAATTTGTTTCAGACATTTAATTTAGTATCTCTCTTACTGTCCTTGGAGTATGGTCCTTGATTCTGCCCATCCAGTTAATAAAATTTGATACAACGTAAGCCATTTTCTCTTGAATAGTTGTAAGCGTATCACCAGCGAAAAATACAAGAAGTGATAAGTCATGGTTATGCAAAAAATAGTGATATATAAAGACATGTAAATGTATAGAGAGTACAGTAAGCAAAAAGTTCAACACAATTTGAGGCAGGCACTACATAAAACCGTCCTAGTATTAACATTGACACTTGTTTAGTGTAAAAATTGCCTCCAAAGTTAACAGAGTTACGTCAATCGTACCGAGAACTTTAATGTCTAAATCTCAATTTGGTTAATCATTAAATACGACCAGTGTTATACTATGATGTAAGAAAATCGATTGATGATTAACCGGTAGGTGTACAATTCTGTTCTTTAAAGAACATTTTTGAAGACCTTTGTAGCATTTTTTTATTGAAACTGAGATAGAATATTGTGAAAGGCTGTTATCTAAGAACTGTGATCACAGCACTAAACGCTTTTAGCTAATTATCTGAAAGCAGAATCTTTTAAAAAACTCGAATTCCTGGACGGAAAAACAAGCTAAGTAATGGCAAGAGACGGGTTTTAAAGTTTTGTACTAGGTAATAAGTGTCCAAAAAGTCTTAAAACCAAGTTCTTGGATAAAAATCTGAGGTATACTGATGCATTCAAAAATTATATTGTTCCAGTGGAAAATGATAACGCTATGAAAATAAATTTTGACCAAATTAGTTTTAAAGGAAATGCTGTTTAAAGTACTTAAAAAAGCCGCTCACACTTTAATTTCCTTGATTAGGCAGGTGTGTAATTAGCCTGAGGATCCTTTCCACCTATTAGAATAAAGCATTAGAATTTAATTCAACCTTTAGCTAATTACAGCTGTCTTCTCAGAAACAACATATTTCATGTTAAATATTTTAATTATAATTGTTCACTCAAGTTATTTATGATTTTAAAGCAAGTGTGCTTTAGGAATACTTTGGATTATTTTAGACTTTCAAGGTCGCATAGCTCGTATAGATTAACAACAGTTGACTGCAAGAATGAGCGTCGAGAGGCCTATTTGGGATGATGTTGATGTAAGGTCACTATAACGATGATTTATTTTCTAGAATTCTGTAGTTGATGACGCTTTACGTATGTCTACGGATGAGCTTAAGGTGCATACCCGTCTTCTTGATGGTGAAATTCGCGTAAGTTAATATTCCTCGTAATTTTCGTAGATCATGAAATCTGAACTTCATCGCGTCGAGCATGAGGTTAAAATGAAGCAGTCAAAAGTTAAAGATAGCAAGAGTAAAATTAAGATGAACAAAGCTCTCCCATATCTTGTCGCTACCATAGTTGAGGTAAGATATTTTCTCAACCAAATTTCATTATCTTAGTTATTGGACATTGAGCCTGAAGATGAAGAAGAGGATGGTGCAAATGTTGACCTAGATGCTCAGAGAAAAGGAAAGTGTGCTGTTGTCAAGACAAGTACTCGTCAGACATATTTCCTTCCCGTTATCGGACTCGTACCACATGAAGAACTCAAGCCTGGTGACCTTGTTGGTGTAAACAAGGATTCTTATTTGGTTCTTGAAAAGCTTCCTGCTGAGTTTGACTCCCGCGTTAAAGCCATGGAGGTCGATGAGAGGCCAACTGAACAATATGGGGATATCGGTGGCTTGGATAAACAGATCCAGGAATTAATTGAAGCCGTCGTACTCCCAATGACACACAAGGATCGATTTGATGCTATTGGTATTCAGCCCCCCAAAGGTGTTTTACTCTATGGTCCCCCTGGAACGGGTAAAACTCTCTTAGCTCGTGCTTGTGCTGCTCAAACAAAGTCGACTTTCTTGAAACTTGCAGCACCCCAGCTTGTTCAAATGTTCATCGGTGATGGAGCTAAATTGGTCCGTGATGCTTTCCAGCTGGCGAAGGAAAAGTCACCTGCTATTATCTTTATTGATGAATTGGACGCCATTGGTTTGTTCTGTTTTATTTAATTGGGTTTGCGTTATATATTTTCATTTTCATTGTCATTTTTCCAACGTGTAGGTACAAAGCGTTTTGACAGTGAGAAAGCTGGTGACCGTGAAGTTCAGCGCACAATGTTGGAGCTTCTAAATCAATTAGACGGCTTCCAGCCCAACCATGATATTAAGGTCATTGCTGCAACCAACAGAGTGGATATTCTTGACCCTGCTTTACTTCGTAGTGGTCGTTTAGATCGCAAAATTGAGTTCCCTGCACCAAATGAGGAGGCTCGTTCGCGCATCATGCAAATCCATTCCAGGAAAATGAATGTTCAGTAAGATTTGATTTTCCATTTTTAATCTTTTTCATCGATCTCAATCACTAAATATTCATGTCAATGCTATTTTTCCACGATATGGTCAGCGGTCTATTAACGTAACTGTTCAATCAATTCGAAGGGTTTTTTCTTCACGGCATATCTTTGATTTTTCTTCCATTGAATAGCCCTCAGTTGATTTTGTTTTTACCTAAATTCTTATATGCTTCGAGCTCAGCAGTGGAAGTAATAAAATTCTTAAATCTGATACACATTCTCTCCTTGTTATTTTGCATCTCTATTTATTATTCGGGTGGTAATCTTATTTAGTTCGAAATTATTTAGACTACTCTCCTTTTACTTTTTCTATTGCCTCCTTTTTGCCAACCTAACCTATTTCTAGGGTTATTATTCCCTATTGTTTGGAAATATTTTCCTTTTAGCCCAGACGTCAATTTTGAAGAACTTGCTCGTTGTACAGATGATTTCAATGGTGCTCAGTGCAAGGCTGTTTGTGTTGAAGCTGTGAGTTTTTTACCTCTCCAATCTCTATTCCTCGTTTGCTATTATTGCTCCATGTGACCTGTTTCATCTACTTTTTATAATAAAGGGCATGATTGCATTGAGAAGAAACGCTACTCAGGTCGTGCATGAGGATTATATGGATGCGATTCTTGAGGTACAGTCAAAGAAGAAGGCAAATCTGAGCTACTATGCGTAGGGTAGCAATTTCTATGTCTTATATTCTATCAGCTATCCTTTCCTCTTTCCCTCCCTTACCACTTCATTGTTGCCTTTAAACTGAATAAACCCGTGATAACCACGTCCTTGCATTGTCTTCATTTCGTGGGTTTTACTAGATTGTTATTATTGTTCCAACTTTATGTTGCGATAGCACTTTGTTTTAGTCTTTACCTATGAGTAGTTGTTTGACTCCCGAAAGCTATATTGGAAAGTGTCTGAATAAAATTATTATCCCGGATCTTTTGCTTGATTTGTAGCAAATCTTCTGTAATCATTGCTCTAGTAGTTTACCTCCTCAAAGTTTTGAGAATGCTGAAAGCGGTATTATTTGCCTTAAACTAGCTATTTACTAAATCATAACTTGGTGCATTTCAATTGTTCACGTTTCTGTGAATTAATATTTTTTGAAAACATCCTTATTTGTTTAGACCGGCTCAACCTCTTAATTTTATAAATGAAGTCTGTTTTTTATAGTTGGAATTCCGTTTTATAACTACGTTACTTAAGTATGAACAGTAGCAATCGCAATTTACGAAATTGCATGGAACCAATAGCAAAAATGCATTTGGCATTTCCATGATAAGCTATACCCACTTTTGCGTCCCTTCCTGAATTGAAAAAAAGCAAAAACCATGACAATATGATCTCTTCCTTTCACCTTGTTAGAGACTACGACTCTTCATATTAAATTGCATAATCTATAATATTTCTCATTTTAAAAGTCTTTACTCAAGTCAGACATTTTACGGGCTGATGATCGGGGCGACGATCGTACTCAGAGAAAGAGTAATTTAAATTATGCAGATGAGCTATGGAATTCCATAAAATATCAATAAAAGGTCAATAAGAGAGAAGTTTGCGAATAGCCATTTGGTGCGCAA